GTGTTTGTATAATTTTTAAAATAACATTTATATGGCTGCGCTCTTCTTTGCCTGACGGTATTTGAATAATAAAAAATGATCTGAGTACAACTATTTACAATTTTTTCTATGTAACCTTAACATATGATGCATATAATATCATTTCTTCTTTCTCTTATGTTCTCTATGTATTTTCATTCCATGTGCATGTTCCCTTTAGATTATTGGAAGCAAGGATAGTTTAATACTTATGAAGTAGGGAAATTTTAGAGAATAATTGACTACTTCCATTTGAAAGATTGAATATAGAAATACGTTCTTTATTCAAATGTCGGAAATCCTTTGCAATAAGCCATGTAAACAAAGGAAATACATGTTCTAGTTTATGGGGAAAAATGTGACATTTTATGGAGGAAATTTAATTATAACTATTGATGAAGTATAATAGCACTCACATTTCATACTGAAAATGGCAGTTTTTTTGTTTTGTTTTGTTTTTGTTTTTTAGGATTCTTATTCATATTTTTGTTTGACTTTATAATATAACATTTAAAGTCAAATAAATAAATAAAAGAAACCTAAGCATTCTTCATTTTATTTTAAATTCCAATGTAGTTAACATATAGTGTTATATTAGTTTCAAGTGTACAATATAGTGATTCAACAATTCCATATATCACCCAGTGCTCATTACAACAAGTGCGCTCCTTTGTCCCTATTACCTATCTCACCCATCCCCTCACCTACCTCCCCTCTGGTAGCCATTAGTTAATTCTCTATAATTAAGAGTGTTTCTTGGTTTGTCTCTCTCTCTCTCTCTCTTTTTTCCCTTTGCTCATTTGTTTTGTTTCTTAAATTCCACATATGAGTGAAATCATATGGTATTTATCTTTCTCTGACTGACTTAGTTCACTTAGCTTTATACTCTCTACCTCTATCCATGTGATCAAATCATAAGCATTCTTGTTAATGAATCAATTTTTGTGTTTTCATTTCAAATCAATAAATAGGGTTATCATCTACTATTTTTAAAGTATCATGTCAGGTGTGGCCAAACAAGAGTAATTCAATGTCATAATTTTAATGTAGCATAAATCCACTTGAGGAAAAGCTACTATTAACATGTGAAAGGTTAAATTCTCAAATAAATTAGACAATAGTTAAAGAAACCAACATTGGAAATGGCATAACATAGCGTATAATCAATTTTCAAGTAAATGTGCAAAAATGTCAGTGCAAGTCAGAAGAGTAATATATCAGTGCTAGTTGGCCCCATCTGAGAAATCTTTATAAAAGATATGGGATATAACCTGTAGCTTGAAGGATTTGTAAGATTAAGGTAGGTGAAACTGGAGGAGTACAGTTCGTTCAAAATAAGTTGAATACTTCAAGCTAATAGACCACAATGGAAAAGTACCGAAGAAAGAAGATGATGATGATGATGAAGAAAAAAAATCAATTTATTTTGAGTAGAAAATTCTTGTTGAGAAACTGGAAAAACCATCTAAAAAGGCAGGTTGTGGCTTAGACATATTTAATGGACAGAATAGAATGAACAGAAGTGAATGTTTTATTCAAACAATTCTGATGTTTTCATAGACCAATTTGTAAGTGGTGTGAAGGATTGATTAGTGGATGGGAAAAACTGGAAGCCCTGAATCCAACCGGGACCATGGGTGGCAAACTTCGTTCACAACAGAATCTTTTTTTTTTTTTTTTAATGAAATCTAACTATGATCTCCAACATATGAAACAGATCAAAATGGCATCATTTTGGAGCAATGTATTTTTTCAGGTCTGATTGGTACTTATATAGTTATTTGATGGGAATACAAGTTTAAACAATGGTATTTTCTAGTATATAAAAATTGTTATCTATAACATATTAAAGTGTGCCTGTTTACACTACAGTATAAAGGACATTTTGGAAGAGATATTCCTATCAGAGTGTACGGGGCTGCTGAAACAAGCTCTTCAGTTCACAGCTCACCGAGGTAGATTATTCAGGGAGCCTCAAGAAGAGAGGAAAATTGAACAGCTACAGATGATGAGGTTTATTCCCTGTAAAAAACCTCTCAGTGCCTATCCATCACTTACAGTGCTTCTCAGGGCTGATGAGGCCCCGCGTGATCTGGCACATCCTCACCTCCCCTGCCTCAACTATGGCCAACTCTCTTTATTTGTTGGCTCTTACCAGTTATAAAACTATTTGAGTTCTTCAAATACTGTTATCTTTTCTCTTTCTCTGGGCCACCCTTTAGAATATCCCCTTTTCCTATAGTCAGCATAACCTTGCCCTACCCCCAAACTAGTTTCAGCCTACCTTCTCCTTATTCCTGTAGTACTTGGTATTGTTGATTACTTGCTTGGTATCAGTCTGCCCTACTGGATTTCCTGCTCTGTAAATAGATGCAGCTTCCTGACACATGGTTGTCAAATAAATGGATGGTCAACTCAAGGATTTTTTAAATAGACTTTATTTTTTAGATCAGTTTTAGGTTAACTACAAAACTGAACAAAAAATACAGAGATTTCCCATATACTCCCTGCCCCCACACATGCATAGCCTCTGCCACTATCTACTTTCCCACTAAAGTGATAGATACACTGTTAAATTGATGAACCTACATTGATGTATCAGTATCACCCTAAGTCCATGGTTTATGTTAGGATTCACTCTTGGTGTTGTACATTCTGTGTACTTGGACCAATGTATAATGACATATATCTACCATTATAATATCACATAGAGCAGTTTGTTATAAAAATCCTCCATATTCTGCCTATTCATCCCTCCCTTCCCTTAACTTCTGGCAACCACTGATATTTTTATTGTCTCCATAGTCTTGCCTTTTCCAGAATGACATATACTTAGAATTATGCAGTATGTAGACTTTTCAGATGGGCTTCTTTCACTTAGTAATGTGCATTTAAGTTTTCACCAATTCTTTTCATGGCTTGATGTTTCATTTCTTTTTAGCACTAAATAATATTCCGTTATCTGGAGAAGCTTAGAATTTGGCCTCTCGGTGAATTTTGTCACAGTTTATTTATCCATTCACCCACTGAAGGACATTTTAATTGCTTCTAAGTTTTGGCAATTATGAATAAAGCTGCTACAAACATCCGTGTATAGGTTTTTAAATAAATTCAGTTTTACACAAGATAAGTAAAGACACTTGAGTAAAAATATTCAAAAATCATCTGGACATTTACAAGTTAGCATTTGTAAGGGAGAGGATACACTTGTAATATGTATATACATATTTATAATAGTCATTTGATTTTTAGTTTCTTTAATGAAATCTTCTACATACTAGATGCTGTATTTGGTGCTGGAAACGCAAAGTTGAGAATTAGAGTTCTTGAATTTAAAGATCTCATAGAACAGTAGGAAAAAACAGAAACAAATAATCCCAATAGGGGCACCTGGGTGGTTCAGTCAGTTAAGCGTCTGCCTTCAAAGCTCAGGTCATGATCCCGGGGTCCTGGGATCGAGCCCCGCATCGGGCTCCCGCTTGGCAGGGAGCCTGCTTCTCCCTCTCCCTCTACCTGCCACTCCCCCTGTTTGTGTTCTCTCTCTCTCTCTCTGTCAAATAAATAAATAAAATCTTAAAAAAAAATAATCCCAATATAATATGGGGAGTACCACAATATAAGTATTTTAGAGTTGTAATCAATTCCATATGGTGGAGGCAGAGAAGAGTTCACAAAACTGATGGCATTTGAATTGAACCTGAAGGAAGGGCAGGAGCCCACAGGCAGATGATTTGAGAATACTTATATATAGACCCAGAGTTTAGAAAAAAATAAGCAGTAGGCTGATGTTGGGGAAATAGTGTGAAATTAAGCTAGAAAGATGGGTTGATCAGATGGGGAAGGGTCTTTTAGGCCCTGCTAATGAATTTGAACTTTTTCTTATATTAGTGATAATCACTGAATAATTCAAAGCACAGTGTGATGTGAATGAAGATTTTAGAAATATAATCCCATTGTCTGGAAGATAGGATAAAAGAGATGAAGATGACATCACAGGAGACTAGGAAAGCTAAAGGGCTAGTTCACATCAAAATGATTCGATCTGTGATTATGGAAGTAGAGGTGAAATAGGAAATTCCATATATATTTAAGAAGTGGAATTTATAGGACAGTTACATTCAATAATATTGCTTATCCTATCCTTAAGTCTCCCTTTAAAAGTACACTAGGATCTTTTTGATTAATGAAAATAATAGTATATGGAGAAGGTATAAATAGAAATGCCACTGATGTTGTATCACAATGAAAACTGTTTGGATTAGTTTTCTATATGCCCTGACCAGAGTCCTTAAAAACACACTGTTTTTATAAATTATTTTCCTTTTGAATATATATTTTATCGGGCTAGCTTTTGAACTTCCGTTTTATAGATTTTAGATGTCAAGATACAGGGAGCCATGAGGCATGAGTTTCACTGAGGAAATTAGAAAATTAAAAGCATTAAAGGGCCATTGAATACATTTTGTAGCACAAAGTCTTAATGATTGACATGTCATATGCACTGAAACCTTGGCATAGATCTAGAGTAAGAGTAAGTAAAATTCTCAGACACTTCTTTGATGATCAATATTGGCATATTCTGTTTGGTATACAAGTATGAACAGCAGAAGAAAGCAGTTAAATCTACGAGCACTAAATTAATTCATTAATTGTCTTTAATTAGCAATTTGGTTTTTCCACGTGAGTAACTTTGTTGGGAAGTTATTGCCTTTTGTAACTGTGAGTTAACAATTAGCTAATAAGATTTTCCAAGAATAAATTGAGATATTGAGATAGCAGATGTCATTATGATTAGAAATTAAGATAACAGCCAGGTGATTTACTGTGGTAGCACCAACAAATTGAAATCAGGAGGAAATCAACTAAGAGGACATTGTGGGTGCTGTCGTTCCCATTGTGGTTGTTATGTATTGCCAGTATCGTTGTGTGCATGTGTACGTGTCTATGTGTCAATATGCTTTTTTTTTCTCATTAAACTTCAGGTATGACAGTGATAGCTGGTGCCCGCCATTACCGGTCCAAACATACTTACACCAGGGTATGGAAGATGAACTGGAAGAAGATGATGATCGTGTCCCAACACCTCCTGTCCGAGGCGTGGCTTCTTCTCCTGCTATTTCCTTTGGACAGCAGTCTACTGCAACTCTTACACCATCCCCACGGGAAGAGATGCAGCCCATGCTGCAAGCTCACCTGGATGAGTTGACAAGAGCCTATCAGTTTGATATAGCCAAGCAAACATGGTAAATATTCTCGTTAGGTCAGGGGACCCAGGCCTTCAGCACAGGGATAGAAAAAAATGTTCTTTTACGATACAGTCACAAGAAGTTCTCATAGAACTATACAGCTGGGATTAGAAGTACTTTTGTGCAACTCATTATTCATCTGGATAAAGATATTGGCTAAGGAAACGTTAAATAATTTGATCAAAGTCACATAACTGGTTAAAGAGTAAACCGGAGCAAGAATTCAGATCTGCTGAATTTCAGGCTAAACTGCTTTTGGCTACACCAGAATCTTTTCTAATTTACAGGTTAGCTTCAATTAGCTTATCCTTGAACTCACTTCCAATGCCATAGTAAAAGACTCCTTTTAGATTCTTCAAAGTGCCTGTGATTAATTCTGTATGTGGTCGTGAATATGTAAATGTAAGCTTCTGCAAATCACGTATGGTCAGTGTCAGTTATTAAAAGATCCTTGGGCTGAATTAAATGAGACAGAAAAAAACCCAGCAATATTAGTAGATGCATTAAAAAGTAAAACCTAGAATAAATTACAAATCCCAAATTCCTTTTTTTTTTAATCAATCCACACCCTTTCCTAAGGTAGAGATGGCAATCTACTTAGGTATCCTGTGCAAGCATGGAAAGAATACAAGTGGGATGAGCTCTCACAATTTTGTACAAGTTTTCTAATGTGCTCTCTTTTCTCCCAAATAATGACATGTAAGTCTGACTCTTGAAATCTCAGTGGCATACCTCTGATTATCTTCTATTGATTTCCATGATGTTATTGAAGTTAAATTTTTATAAAATAGAATTTGCTTTTCTTTTTGATAGTTTTAGATACTAGGATACTTGATAATGAGATGAATTTCATTCTCAGTGTTAATGAACTCTTTGTTTTAAGAATACAGCAAAATATACAAAGAAATAGTAAAACCAGGCCGATCATATAAAGCTTATTATGAACATAGGATCTTTTCTTAGAACCAGAGGTTTCTGAACATTTTTTTTCTCAATCATCTGATGTTTTCTCAAAGGCCAAAGACAATCTACTGTTAAAACAGTATTCTTTTGTATCAGGCTGCTTCATAAACTACCACTATTTAAGTTGAAGCCCACTGCTTTAAGAGCCAAAGGATTTCCTTCAGGTTAACTAATGCAACCAGGTGCTTTAGTCATTTAAGGCACAGATTCTAGCTCAGGTGTTCTCAAATTTGCCTGCATTTTGGAATCACCAGGATAACTTTAATATATAGTGATATCTAAGCACCACCCCTGATATTCCAGATCGCTACTTACCAGCTGTTTGACAGTGAGCAACTTAGCTTAACCTTTCTGTGTTTCCACCCCCATTTGTAAAATGATGATGCTCATACCAATTAGCTCCTATACGACGTGAGAGCACAGTCTCCAAGACCACCCTCGGTTCCAAGAATTCACTAGAAGGAGCCGTAGAACTCACTGAATATCAGGACACTGAAAGTTATGGTTTATTATATTGAAAAGATATAGATTAAAATCTGCCAAGAGAAAAGATGAAAAGGACAGAGTCCAGGAAAGTTCCAAAGCTAGAACTTCCAGTTGTCTTCTCCCAGTGGATTTGTGGAAAGCATTACTTTCCCAGCGACAACGTATGACAATATGCATGGAGTATTGCCAACCAGGGAAGCTCATATGAACCTTGAGTTTCATGGTCTTTCTTCAGCTTTGTCACATAGACATGGTTGGCTATCTGCATGACTGACCTCAGTCTCTAGCCCCTCCAGAAGGCTAACTGATACCATGTGACTGAAAGCCCCTACCATAAATCACATTGTTAGACTTTCTGGAGAAGCCTAAGGTCTCCAGGTGAACAAAGACACTTCTATCAGATAGGACGTTCTAAAACTTAGAGAGAAATTACCTCCCTGGAGCACAAGGCAAAAGCCTAAGTTCTCTTTGGGCAAGGTCAAATTCTTTATTACTCATCACAGTTTTTGTGAGAATTAAGTGAGTTCTGTCTGGCTCAGTTAATAGAGCATGCAACTCTTGATATCAGGGTTGTAAGTTCCAGCCCCACACTGGGTGTAGAGATTATTTAAAAATAAAATCTTAAAAAAAAAAAAGAGTTAAATGAGCTTGCTCTTATACAGGACCTAGTCCAGTATATAGCTGTATTATAGCTGTTATTATTCAGAAGGGCTTGGGTTTTCACCTGAATTGTTCATCGCTGTCTTTCCACTCTTAGAAGGGCACTACCCTTCGTGAGTGTTGCATAGAAATTTGCTAAATGGGTGAACAAACTAGTTCTCCACCTGCTCCAGGTACCCATGGGGCAAACCCTGTTTCTTTCGCTGAGCATGTTTCTGTTCAGTCCAACAATCCTCCAGGGTGTCATTAGCGACGCCCTTTGTAAAAGTTATGAGCCTGTCTGTGCTCGCACAGAATCTCAACCTTCAGGAACGGAATGCCCTCCTCATCTGAGCTGCACATCAACATCACAGGAGGAGCATTTTAAAAATGCTAATTTCCAGGCTCCGCCTCCAGGGAGTCTGTTCATATTGACCCATGCAGTGCATAGCATAGTGCTCATCACTACAAGAGATTTAGAGATGTTTTGCATCCTCTTCCTATTTCAGTTTATCTCCTACTCCTGCTGAACTCAAGGATTACATTTTATGCCTTAACGTATATTTGTTCCATTCAAGAGGAGTCAGCAATGATGTAGGACTGGAATGTTGGTTTCTTTGGTCCTTTCCAAGACAAAAGTGCACACCATTAAAGGAGAATGAATCATGTATATAAATATCACCTTATATTCTCTTGCTCATGACTGGACTCAGTCCATCCTCGATTCATAAACAGAATTTGAGGCAACATTTACAAGATGTCATCATCAACACTCAAGACTTTCTGTACTGGTAGTTTAGAAACTTCCTGATTTTTGCATGAGTGAGGTATGATGACTGTCAGATAAAGACTTGGGGCCTCAGATTCCTGATCTGTTAAATTAAAAATGTGGCTCCCAGAACTAACATCTTAGGGTTTTTGTTTTGTTTTGTTTTGTTTTTTAACATTGAAAGATTTAGAATGTTGTTAACATTGGAGTTGGTTACCAGTTCAAGAATGCAGTTGGGAGAGGAATGTTAAACAAATTCTGGAAGAATGAAATATTTTCTCCAAAAATGCAAGTGTTAAAAATCATCTTGTATCTTTAATTCAAAAACTTAGGGTAAAAATGCATAACATTTGACTTACATATGCCTTAAGTAGCCTATATCTTTTAAATACTTAGTATTGAGACTTTAAAAAAAAATTTATTAAGATATGTGGTATATTCACTCCTTAATGACAGTAACAAATAACAAGGACTTTCATATATATCATGGCATTTATAATTTAGAAGAAACTCTTAAGTAGTCACAGAGTGAATCGACTGAACCCCGGTGTCCAGCCATCCATTTTGCTAGCCATGCCATTTGAAACAAGTCACTTAAGTTGGAACTTTAATAGATTCTAAGACAAAGGTGATAATACAAATTCTGGCTACTTCACAAGGTCGAGATCAAAGTTACACACTCATTGCAATGGGTGTGTTTAGCACACCTCATGTTCCAAACACAGAGAGTGCTAAGATGAATCTTTTCTACATTTGAGCTGTTTGAGACTTTGGGGGGTAAAACAGAGGCACAAATAAGTAGCCAGAACATAAAGGAGCCATTCCTACTTTAAACTGGGTTGAAGTTGAAACAACCACTCAGCCTGATTCATGGGGGATGTATTGGAAGAAAACCTTGTAGGGCAGGCAGTGTGCTCCTGGCTGGGAGAAGGGTTACTGGTATTAACACTTCCTGTGACATTTTTTCTTCATAAGGGCCAGCAGGTCACATGGACCACACAGGCTGCGTAGAATTTTGACATTAAACTGTGAACAAAATTATTATATTCTTTTGGGACCAAAAAAATTGCTTTAAGCAGTTATTTGTGGCAAATATTCATATTCTCCTTTGGATGATTTATTTACACAACAATGCTGGGTCTGTATTTTTTCTCCATATATTATCCCATAAATACCAATGGAAGAGTGTAATAGTCTATACTGTTGTTGTTGTTTTGACTAGCCATGTATACACAGCCCATTGTCTCTGCTGAAATATAAGAAAGCACTGTAATCTCCAAAATTAGTTAATAGAAAGCAAGAAGATAAAATGAGTCGTCATCACATGCTGTTTAATTCTAATTTTGTAGGATGTTAATGAATTCCCTTTTTCCCCCATTTGAATTCTAGGCACATTCAAAGCAATAATCAACCTCCACAGCCCCCGGTTCCACCATTAGGTTACATGTCCGGAGCCTTGATTTCCGATTTGGAAACAGATGTTCCAGATGATGATGCTGATGATGAGGAGGAAGCTTTAGAAATCCCCCGGCCCCTGAGAGCACTAGAGCAGACACCTGGATCCAGTATGGACAATCTAGACAGCTCTGTGACAGGTAACGGGACTGATTTAATAGGAATAGCTGACCTATTTATAACATTAAAATGCATCAAAAATCAAATACTTTCTTATGTAAGATTTATTCCACTCTAGCTATTTCTATAACATTTTAAATATGTTAATATTAAACACAAAATTCAGAAAGGATTTGGAAATACTTTTGCTTTGCTGCAAAAATGATAAGAAAATTCATGAATTTTTAAAAGCTTTAAAGACATGAAAGAAAACTCAATTATATCCAGCTTTCATGAAGAGTTCACTCTACTGGGGAACCAAGTCTATTACATAAAAAACCTTGACTTTTAGAAATGATATATTTTGTATATCAGGAGCAACATACAAAGTGAATGCAATCTTAAAACGCTTCTCGATATTTTCACTCTGTGAAATCATTCACCGATGAAAATAAGCAAGTCTTCAGAATAAGCCTCTCTAAGGTGCACAAGGTATTATTTATGGAGTGGAAAAAATGTGTAGCAAGATAAGCCATACATTTACACATTTCATATCATTGGATTCAATAATTTCTCCTCTCCCAAGAAATATAGTTATTTTTGCTGTTTACTCCTCCAGCGTCCTCTCCTTTGCTCACCATGTGAAAGGTTGCAGTTGCTACTCTCCTAGGATGATCCCAGGACTGCAACCTATTGCCAAGGATTTAAGTTTATCCCATTTTGTTGAAAAAACGTGAATCCTAATGTGTACACAGTGAATATGGAGAAACATAAAAATTGCATCTTTCTATTCCAGTAGGTATCCCTTCTTTGACACACATACACAAATGTCTCCTATAGGACTATAAAGACATAATTACCACAGATGTAGACCTCGCCTTTGCCTGGCATTGGGTCTTCTCAGAAAATCACCCATTTCTGTATTTATCTTGATGATATCGTCTTCATCCTTGGAGGCAATTACAGTCGCATTTAATTCATTTGTACTCCAGTGCTCCCAGCTTACACAGATTTTGCACTACGCATTAGAGTTCAGCCAACACTGATGGAAACTTCTTTATGGCAGTGATGGAGAAGGATAAGGACCTATATGTTTCCTCTGTATGCCTTCCTGAATAACACAGTGTGTGATGCATGAGTCCACTTTTTTTTTTGTTTCGTTTTGTGTCTTATCCAGTAGACATGTCTGCTCGCCAGGCTAATTAAGATTTAAGAACTGCAGATATACGGCTGTGATGTGAAATCCAGATCCAACCGAAGGTGGCAGAGCAAAAGTTTAAATCTTTGAATGCAGAGAGCTAACTTACTAGTACACTATTATGTTAAGCCCCTTCGCCTGAATTTGAAGCATAATCTCCTTCAGGGTAAAATTCTGCATATTTTTGCATATCTCAGTAATGATACTGAACTCTTTTCCATTAGGAATGCAGGAAGAATCGCAATAATAACATAAAAAAGGGCAGCTATAGCCTATGTAGTTCTTTTATTAAATATTATAATGTCAGAGATGATAAATATATCTATAAATCAGGAGACTGCCATTTCGTACTTTTCCATGCTCATCTGTTAGAAACATGTTAGAGTATTTAATATGAATGTGGTTAAAACCAATCTGCCTTTCTCCTTGTAGTGAGTATACTCTTCATTCCAAATGAAGCTTTTATTGCTAAGAAAACAATCTGTTTTCCTCCTTGAATTCACTGCTTAATTACTGCCGTGTATAAAAACCTCAGGGTGTTTAGGTATGTATTATGTGATGAATCTACCCTATGAATAATACATCTTCTCAGTGAAGGAAGTTGTACTCTACGAAAAGTAGCCAAAGAGGAAACTCTTTACTTTCCTCTTCTATTTTTTTTGGCTCTGCAATAACTTTGTGGGGAAGGTATGATCAAAGATTTAATTTGTCTTCTAAGATATAAGTATAATGTAAGTAAATATGAATTAAAATAAGAGTAAATATGTTTTCTCAAAAAAGTGTGTGTGTGTAGGAAGTGTGAGTGACTGTATAGATGTGTGTGTGAGAGAGTATAGGTAGGGTTTGTGGTTATATCTGCATGTGAGTGGATGCAGGGGTGTGTGTGTGTGTATGTGTGTGAGTGTAAATAGGATTGTAAGTGTATTACAGTGTGTGTGCACATGCAGGCATGTACACATACATGGAGATGGCCCTGAGGTGAATATATGTACAAACCTAATGTTACGGAAATCAACATACTGATGTATATTATTCTAACGTGTTTATGTTTTCTTCAGACACTTAAAGCTAGTTTAATGGTGCTAAATGAGGTGGGCAATAAAACAGACACTGTTTCCATTGGCTTTTTATGTTTTTAAGATGGTAAGTGCCCACAGAGAGGATTCTGATCTTACTGTAAATTACTTAGGGTTCTAAATTCATGTGTGGTATGAGGAAATCAGGCATTACTTTCACTTAAATCACCTGGTAGAGATTTTCATTTTCATGAAACTAATAACCATTTTTATTAAATGGAACAAACAGTTCTATTCCAATCCCTGAAACTCTAAAGCCAACTAGAATGATAGCCCAATGATAACACAGAGATGGATTAATAAGCCCGTGTATACAATTATTCAGGACTTTACTTGGTTATATTACATTCCGACCCTTAACCGCATTAAGTAGTATCAGCAGCTAATAAGGTGCAGAACCCATCTTTATAAAGAAATAATTATATTAATTTCCAATATTTCCATAACAACGAAGTAATTTGTGGTAGACACATCTTCAATTTTGAAATAATGGCTTATGAATGGAAAAGCAAGAAGAGAGGGAAGTATCTGTAGTTCCATATCCCATAATCTCATGTCTTAGCCTGGTTGGGCGGCTATAACAAAAGGCAGTAGACTGGGTGGCTCAAACAACAAGCATTTATTTCTCACCATTCTGGAGGCTGGGAAGTCCAAGATCAAGGTGCCTGAGATCTGGTTCCTGGTGAGTTCCTCTTTCTAGCTAGCAGGCAGCCGTCTTTGTGCTGTGTTCTCATATGGCAGAGAGAGACAGCAAGCTCTCTGGTCTCTCTCTCTCTTTTTTAAGATTTTATTTATTTATTTGACAGAGACAGAGTGAGAAAGTCAGAGAGCACAAGCAGGGGCATCAGCAGAGGGAAAGGGAGATGCACGCTGCCCAATGAGCAGAGAGCCCCAAGTGGGGCTCGATTCCAGAACCCTGGGATCATGACCTGAGCCACGGGCAGATGCTTAAATGACTGAGCCACCCAGGGCTCTTTTTATAAGGTCACTGATCGCATCGTGATGAACCCACATTCATGGCCTCATCTAAACCTAATTAGCTCCCAAATGCCCCATCTCCTATACATTAGGGATTAGGACTTCAATACATGGATTTTAGGGAGAAATCAACATTTGGTTTCCAAAACTCAGTAATATGGAAAATGTATTTGCAAACCTGCTATATTATATTTATCCCCACAACAAACATTTATCAGATGTCTATTCCTTCCAATCTGTTGACTAGGATTTTAGATATAATAATAATAATGATAGTGATAATAATAATGTTATCAACAACAACAACAACAACAAGAATACTAGCTTGCATATATATAGATAGCCCTTAGTAGATACAAGACACTCTCCTAAGCAGTGGCCTGTTTTTCTGTAGTGGCTCTGTGAGCTAAGAATGTTTCTTACATTTTTAAAGGATTCTAAGAAAACATGAAACAAACAAAAACAAAAAAGAGACAGCAAAGTCTCAAATATAGGGTATCTGGCACTTTAAAGAAAAGTTTGCAGATCCTTGTCCTAAAGTTTTAACATATATTAATTAATATATTTAACATATATTAATGTCACAACCCTATTTTTTTTAAAGATTTTATTTATTTATTCGACAGAGAGAGAGAGTGAGACAGGAAACACAAGCAGGGGGAGTGGGAGAGGGCGAAGCAGGCTTCCCGCTGAGCAGGGAGCCCGATGCGGGGCTCGATCCCAGGACCCTGAGATCATGACCTGAGCCGAAGGCCTAACGCTTAATGACTGAGCCACACAGGCGTCCCTGTCACAACCCTATTTTTATTCTCATTTTATAGATAAGGAAATTGGGCCATAGAGGGGTTCAAAGTATTTTTAAGGTTACCCACCTGATAAGTGGCAGAAGAATTTTCAAAATTTGTTCTAACTCTTAAGATAAATTACCATGATCCTTTCTCTGGATATGCCTAACTTTTTTTTTTTTTTTTTAATCTCTGAATTTAACATATTTAAGAAGAAAATTATTTCCTGGTCTATTACTTAACATATGGATCTCTGTCTCTGTCTCTATCTCTCTGTCTCTCTTCCTTTCTGTGTGTATGCATGTGTGTGTGTGTGTGTGTGTACATATATGAATAAATAAATAAATATATGTATATATATACATACAAATACAAAATATAATTTTATCTCTGGAAACATTAGTCCTTACCCCCTATACATTTAATCAAGATTTAAAATATCTTAATTTTTAGATGTAACTTTTATTATTTATTTTCCTATATTCAGTTATAGTGACTCATGCTAACAAAAATCAACTGTATCAGCACTTTTTACAGGAAATCTCCTTTATAATTTAATTTATACTATAATTTTAACCTATTTGGTTATAATAAAGTATAAAACTATCTTGATTATAGCACATCACACTCTGTTTGGGGCTAGAAAGTAAACATCCAGAGTTGTTTCAGTCTTCAGGAATATGCTTGCCATATTTCCTCCTTAATGCCAAATCCACCATTTTGAGGTAACAGAACAGGGAAAGGAGTTAATACTTCTTTCTATATCTTCCATGATGGGAGTCCAGGGTAAGAGTTTCCTGAATTTAATGACTCCACCACAGGAAAAAAGAAACAGAAGGCAATGTGAGAGAGGACAAAAGGAAAATGTCCTGTACCTTGCGCCAAGATTCTAACTGCTCCACTGATCACAGAAAGTACAACAGAGAGTGAGTGCCATGAAGTTAAACGAATAAAAGTTTCCTTAACTGCTGGACCCCACATAAATACTACGGCTGAAAGGAAAT